AGTAACTGGGAGCATAAGTAGGCACCACCACATCTGGCATAGACAACATTTCTTTAGTGACTAGGTCTGCCATTGGACTTTTAGTGACTTACATATATGTACTATCTCATGTGCCTTTGGAGAAGCTTCCCTGACCTGTAGAAATTGAGCTCTTGGTTGAGGGGCAGAGGCAGAACTTACTTCTGTCCTATAATCTTCTCTGTATAACCCTAGGACTCATGGGGAGAGGTACAGACAGACAGTACCGGTGTGATATGCAGTGAGAGAGGAAGGTACAGGAGGTAGTATCTGATAAAGTAGAAAAAATAAAATAAAATTGTAGGAGGCACTAGGGGGACAAGCACGAGGCTGGGAGTTGAGTGGAAAGCTGGTCTGTTTGGCCTGGCTCACAGTAAATGTGGAAAGTGAGCCTTGTCACTTTCCTGTCCTTTCATGTAGATAGGTGTACGTTAGGACTGTGAAGTTGGGGAGCTTTGACAGGTAGACAGGTTGTATTTGCTGCAGTGGCTGAGAGGTGACAGAATGAGGGTAACAGGTCAGTAAACCACACAGCTCTGATGGGGGCAACAGAGTATGTGTGTCCAGGTCATCCAAATGTCACTTCATTAGGAAAGTTCTGTTCTCTAGGGTTTTGTTTGTTTGTTTGTTTGTTTGTTTTGTTTTTCACAGTCCATGGAGGCTTTTTATTAATGTGTTTTACATTTCTAGAAAAAGAATCCCAGGATTTTTCCTCCTGTGTGTTTTCATCTTGCTTCTTCATGGCCCATGGTACCACCTGAGGTTGTCAGTACAGTGAAGCCAAACTGATGGGATGGGAGCAGATTGTTCTGCCCTTTTTCTAGGTCTTTGAGTTACACACCAAATCTAGGGCTTATCACTCCACGCTTGTTCAACCTGCCTGTGAGGTTCATGACGATTTTCCCAGCTCTGTGGTCGTCAATGATTTCAAACTCACCAATGTAACCATGCTTCCTCATCACAGTTGGGAACCTAATGATGACTTTGGAGCAGGGCTGGGTAAGGACCTGGCTTTTGCCTCTTTTTTCAGCATTATTGATGCTCTTGAGAGCATCAGCCAGGATATTCATGCGCACCATGGTGCCAGCGCGGAAAGATGGCAGAAAGAGGCCTCTAGGGTTTTTTTGTTTTTGTTTTTAGTAGTTTTTATTTTTCGTGTGTGTGTGTGTGTGTGTGTGTGTGTGTGTGTGTGTGTGTGTGTGTGTGTGTACACATGTGTGCAGATGCCATGGGAGGCCAGGAGAGGGTGTTGGATTTCTTGAGCTGCAGTTAGAGGCTATTGTGTGCCACCTTGCACAAATCAAACTGTGGTCTTCTGAGAGAGTGAAAAGTGCTCTTAAGTGCTGAGCCATCTTTGCAGCTCCCTGTTTGTGTTTTTGTTCTTGATGTTTTAGAGTAATCCAGGCTGGCCCTGAACTCACTGTGTAGGTAAGGATTGCTTTGTTTCTATTCCTCATACCTCCACCTCCCAAATACTTGGATTACAGGTGTATAGTACAGTGCCAAACTTGTGTTTTTCTTTTTAAAACAGGGTCTTTCCTTGTATCTTAAGCTGGTCTTAGACTTTTGATCTTCCAGCCTTAGCCTCCCAAGTTCTTTGATTATAGATGTATCATTATAAGTTAGAAGATTATATAGGTATGTGCTTTTCCAGTTGAATAAGTAAATACTCTGTTATTTTATAAAATATTGAGTGGTCTCTAGTCAGTCACCATGTTCCTTTCTGTTTGTCATTTTAAATCTTTTGGATCACCTAGTAGAGGCAGCAAGGTGTGGAGTGCTCTGTTTTTTGGTTTGTTTTTTTTTTTGTTGTTGTTGTTGTTGTTTTCAAGACAGGGTTTCTCTGTGTAGTTTTGGTGCCTGTCCTGGATCTCACTCTGTAGACCAGGCTGGCCTCGAACTCACAGAGATCTGCCTGGCTCTGCCTCCTGAGTGCTAGAATTAAAGGCGCGCACCACCACTGCCCTGCAAGTGGAGTGCTCTAGAGTCTAGAATCTGCAATTGAGGAACAGAATATTCCCAGCAGCTTTAGCTGTGGTTTTGTTTATGGTAGGCTAGAGTAAGGAAATGACTTTGTCTTACCGTATATCCTTTTATCTCAGTCATACACAAGAGTCAACAATAGAACCTCCAGCCAGGAATGATGGCTCTAACCTATAATCCCAGTATACAGGGGACTGAAGCAGGATGATCAGGATTTCAAGGCTAATCTTGGCTGTTGCAAGTTCTAGGCCAGCATGAGCTACACAAGACCTTATCACAAATAAACAAAAGAATAGAGCCTCCTGAGTTGGGTTTAGTGATGTAATCCCAACACTTGTGAAGCTGAGGGAAGAGGTTCACTAGTTCAAAGCCAGTCTGGGCTTTTTAGTAAGGGAGGGTCTGTCTCAAAAACAAAACAAAACAACAGGGTTAAATGGTTAAATGATTCAATGGATAAAGGCCCCTTTCACCATGCCTAATAACTTGAGTTTGATCCCCGGGCATATGGTGGAGGAAAGACCTGACTCCCACAAGTTGTCCTCTGAGCTCTACATGCACACAAGGCCACCTACACACATGCTTGCACACATGCACACACACAAAATAAATTTAAAAATTTAAAAACAACAACTACAAAATCTAGGCTGTAGTCAATTATGTGTCCATGAGAGTTGCAAGAGGGAAGGGCCATTGACTAAACATGACTCCCATTTTGGCTCTCAGGAGAAGATTCGGGCTTTGGAGGTAGAACTGCAGAATGTTGGCCAAAGCAAGATATTGTTGGAGAAGGAGTTACAGGAGGTGATCACAATGACTAGCCAGGAACTGGAAGAGTCCCGGGAGAAGGTGCTGGAGCTGGAAGATGAGGTAACACCTGTATTTGCTGTCTGCTCAGCCTTGCTCCTTGGCACTTGGGCACCTTGTGATTGTTGGTGGACCAGATTGTTGCCAGTACTCTAGGGAGGATGACAGTAGTTACCTCTTTACAGTTACAAAATGGCTACTGAGACTTATATTCTATGTCTAGCCTGTAGCTTGTATGCCACATAAGTCCCAGGATAGCAATGAATCCGTCCTAACAGATTTGTCATATTTCAGTGTCCAAAGGTTAGATAATCCTGTTCTTTTCCCAGTTAAAATGCTTTGATTGTAAATAACAAACCCAAATTAAATTTGCCAAAGAACTGAAAACTCTGAAGCAGTTTATTGGCCCTATTCAGGTAGTGTTATCACTAAGGGCCCTGTCACCAACCCCTGTCCTACCCCACTGCCTACCACGCTGCTACAGTAGGGTCTCCAGGAATATTACATAACTTTTAGGGATGTGTATTTTATTCAGCCATCTCTATCCTGTCCTCAAATGGGTATGCTGAGATCACCCAACCCCATGCCCATTTGTGAGTAGCTTAGCAAGGCCCTTTGCAGTGTCTGTGAACCCAAAAGAGCAGTAGCTTCACAGATAATAAGTCTGGGGGAGGGGGGGGGTTGCTTTTGATATAGCCAGTCTGGCCTTGAACTGATCCTTATGGCTCTGCCTCCCAAGTACTGGGGTTATGGGCATGAGTCACCACACCTGCCCAGAGCATGAAATTTTACATGTACCTATATGTTTCAGCTTCAAGAATCCAGAGGCTTCAGAAGGAAGATAAAACGTCTTGAAGAGTCAAATAAGAAACTGGCTCTGGAGTTAGAACATGAGCGAGGGAAGCTCACTGGCCTCGGACAGTCTAATGCAGCTTTGCGGGAGCACAACAGTATACTAGAGACTGCACTAGCCAAGAGGGAAGCTGACCTGGTGCAGCTGAATCTCCAGGTGCTGAGACCTATCTGCCAGGAGCAGCATGAGAATTGTGTGGACCACACTTACTGTCAGTGTCTCACCACACTGAGTCATAGCTACTTTCAGGGGACCACCACACCTGGCTCAGAGGCTCAGAGGAACCTGGCCATTGCACAAACCTGGATGTCCCAGCTGTAAGAGCCTGTGGTCATTGTATCAAGTTCATGAGTCCCTTTTACATAGTAGGCTCCTGGTGGGACAGGCCAGACCCTGTGCAAAAGACACTTTCTAAGTCCTGATATCATTTAGAACTGGGATTTGAACCCCAACTTGGTGTCTTATTGTAGGTTCTGTTCTCAGCTCCGTAGGTCCTACAGTGCTTTAGAGGTAGCTGAACTTACATTAACTTAGTTAATTTACATTTTGCTCTAGTTCCTACCACTTCTGTTCTTGCTGGGCTGCCTTGCTTGTATAATACATTTGCCTCTTCTTTTTGGTTCTCAGCTATGTTATTGAACACAGCCATGTGACACAATTTGTGAGATCAGACTTCAGCACCTAATTCATTTCTGAGGCAGGGATTATACATCTCAGCTATCCCTAAACGCAGTAGGTAGCTAAGGATGACTTTAAACTTCTAATCCTTCTGCCTTGTGTCATAGGATTATAGCCACACCAGTTGTTGTTTTATACATAAGTGCTAGGAATCAAATCCAGGGCTTTGTGCCTATTAGGCAAGCAGTCTACCAACCAAGCTACATCTCCAGCCCCAGAGAGGGGCTTCTAACCTTCCCTACCTTGTTTCCTTTCCTGTGATGTCATCACTATGTATACCATCTGTCTTAGGTTTTCATTGCTGTGAAGAGACATCATGACCACGGCAACTCTTATAAAGAAAACATTTAATTGAGGGTGGCTCACATATAGTTTCAGAGGTTCAGTTCATTATGCTCATGAAGGGGAGCATGGCAGCATACATGCAGACATAGTGCTGGAGCTGAGAGTGCTGTATCTTGCAGGCAACAGGAAGTCGACTGTCATACTGAGGGAAGCTTGAGAAAAAGAGACCTCAAAGCCCATCCCCACAGTGACACACTTCTTCCATCTAGGCCACACCTCCTAATAGTGCTCCATTAGGGGGGGCATTTTCTTTCAAACCACCACACCATCCTACTGGGCTCCACATGATGGCTGACTGTAGAGGATCCCAAATTGTATTGCAGGTTGTATAGATGCTTGGGACTGATATCGTTCCTTATTCATCCTTTCATAATGTGATATAGGTGCAGGCAGTTTTACAGCGCAAAGAGGAGGAAGATCGCCAGATGAAGCAACTTGTCCAAGCCTTACAAGCCTCATTAGAGAAAGAAAAGATGAAAGTAAACAGCATGAAGGAACAGGTATGTGGTCAGCTTCAAATTCATAGGGCCTTCCAGGAGATGTAGACTATGGGGGTGCCCTTTCCGTGTTGAGTTTGTTTCTAAGGACGGGGTTGTTAGGACAGAGACTGCAGAGAACACTGTTCCTTTGTAGAAAATGGCATTAAATGACTTTAGCAATGAAGGACTGAGAAGGTCAGACTGAGGCACCTATATATATGCACATTAGTCTTTGCTAGGAAAGGAACTGTAGAATTTAAAAAGCACACTTCCCATTTGTGCACACTCCTGTAATCCCAGCATTTAGAAGACTGAGGCAGGAGGATCTTGACTTTAAAGCCAGCTTGAGCTCTATGTACTGAATTTGAGGCTAGCCTAAGCTCTATGGCAAGACCTTGTCTAAAATCAGTCAAGAAATATGGCTGTATATTGCTTTAAAGTATACAGACTTGTCTTTGTGACTGGCTCCTTTCCACATTCCAGCTTTGCTGATCCGTCAGGTAAGTCACTGCAGTAGAGGCCTATGGTGGCTATTATACCCTCCCCTCTTTTAGAATGTGAGCTGCCTACTAACACACCTGCTGACACAGAGCAGATAATCAGGGCCACTGCTGTGTGGGTGTACAACCTGTTACTTATATGCACAAATTTCTTTTTTCTTTTTATTCCTCCTGGTCTAGACAGGGTCTCTTGTAGCAGGGATGTTCTTGAACTTGCTGTGTAGCTGAGGATAACCTTGAACTCTTTACTTCTTGTTGCTGTATTTTGAGACAGAGTCTCATGACGTAGCCCTGGCTGGCCTGACACTGGCTGTGTAGACCAGGCTGGCCTCTGTCTCAGAGATCCACATGCCTCTGCTTCCTGAATGCTGGGATTAAAGGTGTGTACCATCATGCCTGGAAATTCATGATCTTCCCCCACCTTCGAAGTACTGGGATTACAGATATGCCTCAATGCCCACCTGAGACAGTAAAAAATAATTGTAACTTCAAAAATTTTTTTAATTATCATGTGTACATACGTACATGATGTGTGCGAGTCATGTCACACATGTCGTGTTTTCTCCTTTATCTGGGTTCCAGGGATTGAACTCAGATGGTCAGGCTTGTGTGGCAAGCACCTTAGTGAGACACCTCACTGGCCCAGGAAAATTTTTTTAAATAAAAATAATTTTAAAGCTGGCCTCAAACTCACAGAGATCCATCTGCCTCTGCCTCCCAAGTGCTGGGATTAAAGGCATGAGATACCACCACCCAGCTAGTTCTCATCTTAAAAGCAGTTATTTTCAAATGGAAACAACTTGAACAAAAAATATATGACACAATTTTAAGGCCCATTAAAATACAAGTATAGAGTAAATTGAATAATGATGATACTGTTGATACCTTCTTTTTTTTTTTGTAGTGCACCCTGAGCCTCTAAAGTGCTAGTCAGTAACTCTACCACTCAGCCAGATACCAGCTGTAGTTGTTTCTCTAACTGATATTGCTAAATTATTAGAAAAGAAAATGGAATTTTTTTCTTATGCATTCAGGAGTTTGCTTGGAAATCTTGAGAAAATCTATTATTGACTGTGAAAATCAACAAATGTTCAGTGGAGGCCAATTACATAGAATTAAATCTTAATTAAATCTTATAATTAGGTGGAAATATAAGAATTAGGAATAAACTTAACTAATAATAAATAAAGTTGAGGAGTAAACAACCTCTTAAAACTAAGAAAACTGTGAGTAAAATTTTTCATTCAGCAGAGTCTGTCACCTATATGTCACTAGTCCCTGTGTGCTGAGCATAAAGCCAGGTATCTTCATCTTTATCTGTAAGTTGGTCTTGAGAGGAAAATACACAAGATAGACCAGTTCTGTGTGGGTTTGGGAGGGGCTTCAGTGTTGGTACTTGGTATTCCATCAAACATGTAGCATTCATCATGGTACAACTTGTGTGTGAGTAATGTCAACTTACTTTCTTCTAGATGGCTGCTGTCAGGGCAGAAGCTGGACACAACCGCCGCCACTTTAAGGCAGCTACATTGGAGCTGAGTGAGGTGAAGAAGGAACTACAGGCAAAGGAACACCTGGTACAGACACTGCAGGCTGAGGCGGATGAGCTTCAGTGAGTACCTGATGCTTGCACACAAGGACACCCCAGGGCTGGCCGTGGTGACCTTAGTGTCCATTTTCCATAGAAGACATCAGAGCTATTGGGATTTTCTTTCATCTTTAATTCATTTTGAATCTCACAGAGTCATCTGTCTTTCCCTAAGGTGCCAAGTACTTTAGGGACAAGTCAAAAGAACAGAGTCATCTGACTGTTTCAGGAAGTCTGAGCTTAACCTTAACCTAGCTCTTCCTTGACTTCTTCCTGGAATAGGAAGAACCTCCATTTAAGCACTCAATCCAAGGACATCCTGAGTATTCAGAGATTCATTGTAGCTTCACACTAATGCAACATCAACTCAGACATGTGGAAAGGGGTAGGATAAACCTAGGGATGTCCACATACCTCTACTGCAGCCCCAGAGGTTTATTGTGTTATGGAAGTATCTGACAGCACCCTAATCTGAGTTTTGTGAATAGACTGTGTCTTCCAGAGTACAAAGGGCTTTCTTTGCAGCGTTAGTGGAAATAGAGCATTGGAAGTACTCCATACTGTCTCCATCCAATGGTAAAGGGTCTTCACCATGGACAGCCTTGGAGAACAAATTGAGAGAATTTTGTCATTTTATTTATTTTATTTTATTTTATTTTATTTTACAATATCATTCAGTTCTACATATCAGCCACGGGTTCCCCTATTCTCCCCCCTCCCACCCCCTCCCCTTACTCCCAGCCCACCCCCCATTCCCACCTCCTCCAGGGCAAGGCCTCCCCTGAGGACTGAGATCAACCTGGTAGATTCAGTCCAGGCAGGTCCAGTCCCTTCCTCCCAGACTGAGCCAAGTGTCCCTGCATAAGCTCCAGGTTTCAAACAGCCAACTCATGCAATGAGCACAGGACTTGGTCCCACTGCCTAGTTGCCTCCCAAACTGATCAAGCCAATCAACTGTCACACCTGTTCAGAGGGCCTGATCCAGCTGGGGGCCCCTCAGCCTTTGGTTCATAGTTCATGTGCTTCCATTCATTTGGCTATTTTTTTTTTTTCAATAATTGAGTAAAACCGAAATTTATTATAAGCCACAGTCGTCCTAGGGACCTCCATGCTATATATATAGCCTCCATGGTTCTATGGGTTGTGGTCTGATTGTTCTTTATTTTATATCTAGAATCCACTTATGAGTGAGTACATACCATGACTGTCTTTCTGGGTTTGGGTTACCTCACTCAGGATGATTTTTTCTAGTTCCATCCATTTGCCTGCAAATTTCATGCTTTCATTGTTTGTCGTTTTATTTTTAACCTTTTTGTTTGTTTAAATGCCAGGATTCGAGAGGGAAAGCATTCTCAAGAAATAGCACAATTCCAGACTGAGCTGGCAGAAGCTAGAACCCAGCTCCAGCTCCTACAGAAGCAGCTGGATGAGCAGATGAGCCAGCAGCCCACAGGGAGCCAAGAGGTGACAGCTAGGTCCCTGCTGCCCTGTCTGTTCAGACAGAAATCATATTTTTTTCTAAATGTAATACTAAAATATGAGTAAAAATACCTTAGAACTGTTTTACACTATAAGGCACCATTTTAAAATTGTGTTAGTCATGTGTCTTCTTCTTTTAGATGGAAAATCTCAAATGGGAATTGGATCAGAAAGAACGAGAAATTCAGTCCCTGAAGCAGCAGCTTGACTTGACAGAGCAACATGGCAAGAAAGAACTAGAGAGTACACAACAGACATTGCAGGTTGGTAGTATCTCTATCCCACGCCCTGGATCTGGATGGAAGGGGTGCAGTCCCTAGCTACTGAACACCTGACAGGCTGAGTGTTAGAAGAGTTCTCATTGAATTGGATTACCCTCGGGGCTCCCCCACCCTACCTCAATGATCTGAAGACACTGTCTCCATTTTACAATGAAATTCAGCATGGTTATCTGGTTCAGGTTATACAGCTAGATGGAAGAGAAACTGAGACAAACTCAAGCACTATCCCTCTCTTAAGCTGTATGAAGTATACCAGGAGCATGTGGTTTTAGTTCTGGTGCTTAGTTTATGATTAACTTCTCCATGGAGGCTCAAATGAATAGTCTTTTCTACTCAGGGAGAGGACCAGAGACATACTTGCTAATACTCCCTACTTGTAAAAGAAGAAATAAAGGAAGGAAGGAAGGAGAAGGGGAAGGAAAGGAAAAAGGGAAAAGGAAAGGAAAAAGGAAAGGAAAGGAGGCAGAAAGAAAGAGAGAAAGGAAAGGAAAGGAGGCAGAAAGAAAGAGAGAAAGGAAAGGAAAATGGCATGGCCTAGTGTGATGGCACACGCCTTTAATCCCAGCACTCGGGAGGCAGAAGCAGGTGGATCTCTGATTCTGCTCCACAGAGTGAGTTCCAGGACAGCCAGGGCTTCAGAGAACCCTGTCTCAACACCCCCCCCCTCAAAAAAAAGGCTCAAGTCATTAGACTGGGTTATACTATTTCTTAGGAATGGTTTGACTTAGTCTAATAGCTGCCTACAGGATTTTAAAGATTCTTGGGGTTAACTGTGGCCATGAAGATATTGCTGTTTGGAAAAGGCTGAATGTTCAGTGTCAGGAATGCTGCAGTGATGTTCAGCAATTAAGAGCACTTAACTGCTCTTGCAGAGGACCTAGGTTTGGTTTCCAGCACTCACATAGCAGCTTAACTTCCTATAATTGCAGCTCCAGGAAAATCAACACCCTCTTTTGGCCTCTGAAAAGCTCTTGCATGTTCATATAAACACACATAAGCACTCACACATAAATCAATCAGTCAATCTAAAAATAATGTTAAGAGTTGGAAATGGAAAAATGGCTCAGCAATTCAAAGCTCTTGTTATTCTTCCAGAGTACTCAAATTCAGTTTCTAGCACCACATGGGGCAGCTCACAACCAAATGTAACTAGCTCCAGAGAATCCAGCTCTCTTTCCTCTGGCCTCCCAGGCACCTGCACTCATGTGCACATAACCCACATACACATAATTAAAAATAGAATAAATTTTTTTTTAACTCGGGTTTGATTCCAATGAACTTGTCAGTGCCTAGGTAACTATAGAGGAAATTGCTATGAAAAATACAACTTGTCCTAACAAAAAACAAGTCCTCAAAACTGACATACAACTTAACATCTTAAAATGTGTTTAAGATTTTTGTTTTGTTTTTCAAGATGGGGTTCCTTTGTGTAGCTTTTTCACTCTGTAGACCAGGCTGGCCTTGTACTCAGAGATCCACCTGCCTCTGCCTCCTGAGTGCAGGGATTAAAGGCGTGCGCCGCCGCCAGGCTACAGTGCGTGTTTTTTGAGACAGGCTCTTATGTAGCCCAGGCTGATGTCAAACTTGCTATGTAGCTAAAACCGGCCATGAGCCTCCTGAGCCTCACCACTGCTGGGGCTATAGGCATGTGTCACTCGCTATGCCAGGTATTTAGGATCTTTTAGCTTTAAAAAAAAAAATCTGATCACTTTCCTTAGACTGTCAAGTCTGAGTTGGAAATGATACAGGAAGATCTGTCTGAGACCCAGAAGGATAAGTTTATGCTTCAAGCAAAAGTGTCTGAACTGAAGAACAACATGAAAACTCTGCTGCAGCAGAACCAACAGCTCAAGATGGATCTCCGCCGTGGTGCAGCCAAGGTAGGATTTAGGTTACATCCCTTACAGGTTAACTATTTCATTTAGACTTGTTGGAGCAGGAGACTGGCAGGTTTTCTAGTCATTCACAGCTCAACTAATACATTTAACCAACATTGAATACTGCTGTGCACAAAGATCATAGAGAACTATGCTAGGAAAGTGGGCCAAAACATTTTATTTTGGTAACTTTCTCAACCAAATTTTTTTCTTCTTGAATACACATATCTTGTAATACTATTTTAAATTAATGAGCACACAGCCTTGCTGTGCTGCCATTGTGGGACACTGGCTTCAGGATGGGCTCAGGTGGGAACATCATGCTATTATCAACCCTGCTGGAGGGTTCAAATACCTGGCAGGTTTATTTATTTATTTGTACAATCTACGTAAATATTGCCTAATTTCTTAGGGAAGCTCACACAAGAGAGCTCTAATGCAGTGTTTAGCTATTTTTCCTGAGGGTAGGGCACAAGTGGTTTGTGCTTAGGATTGCAGAACCAGCTAGTATTTCTTAACCCACTTACTGTCAGACTGTCTTTATAAACCTGGCAATTCAGTCAGTCAGTCTCCTTTTCAGCAGGAGGACATGGGGGAGGAGGGATCAGTTGTCATAGTGGAGATGAGGAGAGCTGTACAGAGGTTAATGATGTACTTTTACAAACAGAAGAAAGAGCCAAAAGGTGAATCCAACTCATCCAGCCCTGCAACACCCATCACGATACCGGACTGTCCTGTCCCAGCCTCATTGCTAGAGGAGCTGCTGAGGCCTCCACCTGCTGTGAGCAAGGAACCCCTCAAGAATCTCAACAGCTGTTTGCAGCAGCTCAAGTATGATCTGTTTTCTATGGCCCCATTTTTTTCAGCCTTTAGACATGTCATGTTTTTCCTGGGGGCATCTCTTCTGTTGTTTGTAGGGTGTCTATGGCTTTGAAGCTCTTATGAAGTAAAGGCTTTTTATTGGCAGAGCTTCTAGGGTCTGTGTTGTAAGGTGAAAATAGCTAAGTAAACTATCTTGGTGGGCCCTTAAAAGATCAGGTGTTATACCTGTCCCCTATAGGCTGAGCCTCCTAGCTTAGGACAGAAGAGGCCAGCACAGAGGACCCTGTCAGGTGACCTTATGAGGGGAAGTCACATGTGGCAGTGGCCTCAGGTAGTTTCCAGACAGCAACTTGATTAGCATCAGGCTTTCATATCTTTCTCATGTTTCTGATAGAAGCACTTCTCAGAAAACAGAAACCTATGCTAGATTGTTTGCTGGCTTCTGCCCAGAGTGGGGGGAAAATGCCAGGAGCTTTTGCCTTCTTTGACTCCAGCTGATTTTGCTAGTCTGTGATACATTTATTGATCTTTGAGGGAACCACATATGGTGGTGAGCCCACCTCTGTGGCTTGTTAGAGAGGTATGGTTAGTGGTTCTGTCTGGTCCCTTGTATAACTTAGGGTTTCTTCTGTCTCCTCTCATCTCCCCAGGCAGGAAATGGACAGTCTGCAGCGCCAGATGGAGGAGCATACCATCACTGTGCATGAGTCCCTGTCCTCATGGGCTCAGGTGGAAGCTGCCTCTGCAGAGCATGCCCACCCCAGGGGAGACACAAAACCACATAGTCAAAACAATGTCCCCAGAGAAGGGCAGGGCCAATGACTACTGTTGTCTTCATCACCAAGTATTTGTGACTGCTGAAGGAATATTCTTTTGTTAATATTATTTATTTGATTGTGTGCTTCTGGTTGTTTTTTGTTTTTGGAGAGGTGAGATTTAAATTTCCCTTTACCTTTTATTGAGGATTAAAATAACTGAATGAGGCAAGGATTAAAGAAATAGTCATTTTAAACAACTAGCTTTTCCCGTGAAATAACCAAATCTTGAAAACATCAGAGTTTGGATCACTGGTGAAATCTCAATGTCTGAACAGTTTCTTGTAGAAGGAAGGATCTTATGTGTGGCTGACAGACTTAAGGGTG